ACAACAATACGCGAAAAATTTCTTTTATATTACGTAATATTACTAAAATTTGGATAATTACAACAGCAAATATTCAAAATATCCTGCTATTTACATAATTTCCAATATAAAATAAGATATATTTACACAATAAAAACAAATTTACATAATTTTTGTGGAATTACATAATTTCTGTAAAATTGTATGATTTTTTATAATTACAGAACTAATCATGTAATCTATTTTACATTTATTATATGTGTAAATTTACGAAATTTTTTTACAGTGTAAGTGGCTTGTGTCGCATCGTGTCCAATCATGTGCAAAGTAACGATAAAAGTAACTGTAAAATTCGTTACCGTTACCAAAAAAATGTAACTTCGTTACCGTTACAGTTACCAAAGAAAAGAGTAACGCAGTTACTAGTAAAGTTACCAAAAAAGTAACTTGTAACTGTAACTTCGTTACAAGTAACGAGTTACTTCCATTCCCTGGCTATATCACAGAAATGATAAAAAGAAAACGGAATGATAAAGTTTTCGCAATCATTCGACGGATTTTACGCGTCGTTAATCAATCTGTTATGCAAATAGTGCCATCGCGAACAAGATTGATTTTTCTCAACAAGTGGCGTTTTTTCCTTTGTTTACATGAAATCTAAGATTATCTCAGGTACCTTTGCAAAATAAAAAAACATCACATTTTCTGAGATCGTCAAAGAAATCTCTCGCGTGATTTATCAGAACGCGAGATGGTTCACATAATTGAACGCAATTCGTGTCCAATTATTTACTCACACAAAATACTAAATGCAAAATGTAGTTGAGGAATAATTCGGAATAATTAGTTACAACATACAATTATAAAATGCCTAACAAATATTCAGCAACAGACAGATTCGTGCATTTTCATGTCACACTATTCTTGATGCAAATAGATGAATTATGTTCTAAAAACACCAGCCTCACCCGCCTTAATTATAAAGGTTTTCAGTGTATTCTCATCCAGCTTGGCGAAATTTTCCGTCTTTGTCACAGCCGTCATGTGATTCAAGGCAAACTTGAAGCAGACTTCTTCTAGTTCCTGAAAAATTGACAACGGCATTCAATTATTGGGTAATAATACATGCGTGTGTAGGTAAACAAATACTGCAGTCAATGAAATGTTGATAAGCACTAATAATAAAGTTGTTTAGCTACCTCTTCGTTGTACTCGATTGCGATACTATACAAGTAGGCAACATTCGATACAGTAATTCCTTGCTTTATCATCCAAATGCAATGCTTCTTGAGATTGCTCTCGCAGTAAGCGTTGGCCAGATCCAAAAGTTCTGTAACGAAAGACGTTGCTTCAATCGTGAATGTACTCAGGTAACCGCTCGATAACCGCTCAGGATGTATCCGACTTACCTAACGCCTTCTCCATGGGTAAATCGATCACGTCGGTGTACAAGTATTTCAGGAAAGCTTTATAGACAATATAGGAAAACTGATCATGCTCGATGACACTGTTGGAACGGAAGAACAAAATGAGTAAAAAAACTTGCGAAATCTTTAACATAAATAACGCAGATATTTTCTTAAATGATTACCTTTGGTTGTTTTCTGCCCAATCGTGTTGAAACATGGTTCTAAAGTATGAAGAGCGAATTTTCAGGATAGCCTTGTGTACGTGGATACATTGTCCCTCCACTTGTATCTTGAGATCGCTTGTAGACTATCATAAAAGAAGACAAAAGTCATTAGAGACAAATGTGTACAATATTAGCTTAACACATAAAATATTTGTAACATTTATCAGCTAGAATCCAGCACAAAATGTATTACACAGTTTAATTTGTCAATCAAAGAGTTCATTCTCAGATTTAGATTTTTTTTTCGTTAGAAAGAAGTTTCTTGAAATTTCTTTTAAAAATAGTCGAGCTAATAACATTATACTTAAAATAAGATTTAATAAAAAATAATAAACTTTAACTTCAATAAGTGAAAATATTAATATATATACACTGGATACAAAGTATAATAAAAATTGTAAAGGATAACTCTCACACAAATTCAAATCGAAAAATATATGTGATTCACCACTCGGGTTTTAATGAAACTTTGAGTATGTTAAAGATTCATCAAAATAGTCTAAGAAATTTTTGAAATTCTTTCAACTTTAATGCATCCTGTATCTTTAAAACAAAGTCATTTCGAATATATAACTTACGAAGTTTTCAGTATCCACCCTGTATATGTATTGTTAATAATTGTGTACATATAATTAAATATATTGTTAATAATTAGATCTACTTGTTTCAAGTGCACTTTTTCTCTTATCAATATCGTACATTCATTTCATTGAACATTTAAAAATATGAGAAGGTGCACGCGAAACAAGTAGATACAATGAACAAGCTACATACAGGATCATCAAATGCAGATCCTAGACATTGCAATATATTCGGCTCTTCGTTCGCGTACAGGATCAGTGGTTTATGCATAACGCTCGGTGATCCGTAACACGCAAGCGCGTCGTGTACGTTGGAGAACGGAGTGGAGGTTGGGATAGTGATGCTCTGACCACGACAGTGACCCCACATGTAGACACGTCCTCCCTCGCCGACAGCGACGCTTATGTGATTGTAGTGCATAGCGGCGATGTCGGATACCCTTCCCATTTCGTGCTCGACCTAATAGTACAATTATTGATAATGTTGTCCTTTTTTTCCTTCATTTTATTCGTTCTCTATTTTCTTTATGACGATACGAGTATACCATGACTGGCTTGCAGGAATTTGTCTTGTTGCCAATTCCCAACTGGCCATAACTGTTTCCACCCCAGACATAAAGCTTCCCTTCGTCTGTGAGCGCTAGCGTATGAGCGTATCCACAAACCACTTTGACTGAAACGATACCGATTGCTCAGCGATCCCATTTTGCATTCGCTCTCTTCTTCTTTTTTACTTCTTTAATAAATCGAGACTTACCTATCACAATGCCTCTCAATGAACCGACTTGCCATGGTGACGTCTGATTCGCGTAGTTACCTATTCCCAACTGGCCGACGCCGTTATTGCCAAAACCATACACCTCACCATTTTCAATGACCACCATGGTA